CAGAAATGGGCTTTACACATTGTATCAAGAGGAGAATCGAACACGGGTCTTCGGCGTAACGAGCTAACGCTTTAACCACTAGGCTACCCCTCCGCCCAACCGGGGAATTAGATGGCTGGGCCAGTCGTGTTGCATCTTCATCACAAGGTTTTAGATTCCAGAAAAAAACAATTTTGAATCAACCTTACAAACACTTGTCCTTGGACTTTCAACCTTACTCCGGGAAAATGAATTTTTACATGGACTTTATGTCATGTATTAGTCATATCTATTTCTCGATGCAGTTATTACTCATTTACTCAAAACTAGAAACAATTAATGCGATTATTGTGATTGTATCGTTTTAGGATCTAAAAAGAAGAGTGCGTCTCGGTTGATGATTGAATGCCCATTTAAGTAATAGGATTGCTCCTAAAATCTGACAAATAATATAAACACAAATAATGATTCAACCCCCCATTCTCCCATGCCATTACTCTAAAAAGTAATTTACTCAGAAATCATAAAATTCTAAAATTTTCAAAAACCAGTGAAATTTCACCGATATTTGAATTAGTCCCAAACCAAAGTTATCCATCCAAACAGTCACATTAATTAATTCAACAAATTCCCTGTCAGTCTATGACAAATGACAATCGTTGCTGCAAATGCTGGAACACCTAATTACCCTGGCGGGGCCATTTGTTAACAGCGAGGGTAAGAGCATGTCTCATTGCGTTGGGCCATCATTTGTCATTAGTTTACGTCACCTCCGAGGTTAGACCTGAATTGCCAACAGGTGGCGCCTCTGGTCACTGCTTGCACGAGCTAATCGACGTCACCATAGCACGTGCCACGAGATTCAGAAAGTGACCACTGGCTATTTGTCCGGTCGGGATTGTCTGACGAGGCCAGGGTGGCGTCTGGCTGGACTTGATTACACTTGTCATCGTGTATCAGCAAGACAGGTACATTCGTGACAGGTGTTTCGGTATGATTTACTTGTAATCTCTGACCTTCCAACATGGGGTCATCGCTCGTAGCAGGGCGTGGGTTGGTGCTTAATGAGATCACGCATCTGTAGCTGCGGTGTCCATATCCATTCATTCCGTTCATGGTTTCATATCAAATATAAAGTTCTCTATCTTAAATATATCAAAAGTAAATTTAGCTACAAAACAATCCGAATGGAAGCAAGAAAAGTCATTAATATTTGGATTGGGGAGAATCTTGACTTGAGTATGACTTTTATTTAATTTATTCTCTTGGATCTGGGACATAGACTAATTAATTTTCTAAAATGTCACTTCTGGAGACAAAGGATGACAGTGTAATAAAGGTCTGCCAATGTGCCTGGTAGGATTTCCAATGCATTTCGCATCTCCGATTATCTATAAATCATAATAATTATTGTTTTATTATAAGTATTAATCTCTCCCTACACAACTTACAGAAACATTTCTATACTTTACTTTATTATTCTCGAGTGAGTTTAGTTTTACGCCGCACTCGGCAGTATTCCAGCTATATGGCGGCAGTCTGTAGATAATCGAGTCTGGACCAGACAATCCAGTGATCAACAGCATGTATATTTTTATTCTCGAGGTCGGTCCAGGTATGTTTCTGGGTTTATGAACACTATACCCTTGTTTTTAGGATTTCACCAACGTCTGAGGTAAGCATCACTTTGGACTTCCTTCCCACAATAGTCTCTTTAACCTTGATACAGTTGGATTTCTGATCAAAGCGCCGTTAAAACCGACTCTTATTCAAGATTTAAAATACAGCAAAATGATACAGGTTTTCCAAAACAAGATGGAGGCCCCACAAAAATACCTGATATGGTTTGTTTTCGACCGTATATGCAATGCACCTTTTGCATACAGATCTCATATTTTCATATTGAGGTGAAGATGGTTGCTGACAGGTTGTTCCAGACCCGATTATTTACAGACCGCTGCCATATAGCCGGAATATTGCTGAGTGCGGCGTTAAACAACCAACCAACCAACCAACCAATGCTGCTGTCAGTTGGTGACAGCATTATTTTTATAATACACGATGTTTTGTGTATGTGGCAAATACATATTACCTTTCTAATATGTCTTGATACAAAGAACCATATATCATACAAGAATGCTTTTAACATAAATAAGAATGTTTGTATCTTGAACTTCATTGGGGAGTCGCCATATCCGTCTTATATCGCTAAAGAAAGTACGCTACGTGTAAAACGACATTTAAGCGAAAAAAGTGACGGAAATCAACTTAACGAACTTCAAAATAGATTTTCAACAGGAAGGATGTGTCTATAGATAAATGATTTATAACTTTCCAATATTTCGTTTATAATCATACTGGCGAATTAATTGATATACAGAAGATCGTGGATGGTAAGATTAAAACGAATCAGTTTGTCAAAACGACTGCCGCCGTTAGCGGAAGGCGAGAGTAAACAAGCGGGGGATGTTGTTCGCTCTTTGGCACTGACAAGTTATGAGGCGATCTATCACAGAACCCATACCAAATTTGCTTTAACCTGCAGCACAAGTAACACGTGGATAATGTCAGGAATCCACACCAGATGCCGCCACTTGCGTCTGTCAAAACTGACATCGCCATGTTTGACGCGAAATCGCGCCATAACCAGCATGGCGCAACTTCCGGCCAATTAGCGGGTCAGCGCGGCGTGACAGCGGAGAACTGGCCTCATACCGAATCCTCGTCTATCACAGAAATGCTTGCAGTAAATCTGCCTAGTTTTATGAAGACGTCATCTCCGAGGAGTTGAAAGTCGGTAGGGGACGGGTCCAATTATGAGACCCCCTTGGTGTGATTTACGGTAATAATAGCCTAATTTTGTTCAGTCTCCCGCCGTACGCCACAGACTTTCAGTCTTGAGGACAGCACAATTAGCTCTGTAACCTAAGTCGATTCTGCTTCAAGTTTCGGTGTAAAATACTAATGCGAAAATTATCTTCGTTAGATCTTGGTACCTCCACCCTGGAAAATGATGTGGCCCGAGAAAGACCGGATTTACAATTGGTCTTATATGCATATTTCCAACGACTTGTTCCCGGAAGAATAAAGCTCCTCTAGTCCAAGACCTAAAGTACGTTCACTTGAGGCTGTCAACACGTCCGATCCAGCGTTCTACTGTGTCATGCTGTGCTAAAATGGAATTTCGGGATAATCTCCATCTTTTTTCCCTCTCTCCTAAAAAAAATCAGCCATTCGTAGACACTTAAACATTGCCAGGAACGGGTTTATTACTCAATCACGAACAAGATGAGCTAACAGGAAAACGTTCAGCACTTATTAGTACTATTTCGTTTCTGTTTTCGACAAAATATGGAACATGCATGTGGACGTATCTGTTTGTATAAGACGCACGTACTTATGTCAATCAACTGCACATTGCACTCAAGGGACATTAACGTGACTTTTCAAAGACAGGCGCTGCAGAGAGCCTAGACTAACGCTTAGTCTCTGAATATGTATAATTTTGATATTTGCAAATAAACCCCATTTAAATTGAAACGGAGCCCCAGTGAGATGGCGTTTTCCTGAATCTGAGGAAATCTAGACTTGCTTCATTTAGAGCTTTAGCACTGCTAACGAGGACTAGGCAGTAGGGAAAATAATGTGGTGTAGGGACTGTGAGACAGACTACATAGTGCCGACCATATGCTTCGCCCAGTTGTTGCACCTGTAGACTAACACTTAGTCTCTGAATATATATAATTTTGATAGTAACAAATAAATCCATTTAAACTGAAACGGAGGCCAAGTGAGTGGGGAGATTCAGAACCCGAAGACATCTAGACTTGCTTCATTTAGGGCTTTAGCATTGCAGAGAGGGCTTGGCAGTAAGGAAAATAATGTGATTCAGAGACTGTGAGACTGTCTACTTACTATTGCACCTGGAAAAGGCTCTATTGAACGATACGGTTGTTATTTTTCGGTTCAGTTCTAAAACAGTAAGGTTCTCACAAACAGGAACCATATGCTTACGATCAATTGCCCGGTGACCCATGGGCAGATTCAGTCTAAGTCCAATCAGTTTGCCGGAATCGTCTTGATTTGTGGACTCTTTGAAGGGTTGTATCAGATCTGGCGTGGTTGTGTCATGATTATGTCCCGCTGTGTCTGACCCACATTAACTTTAAGGTTCAACAATGCATTAACAGAACATGCATGTTCCGAGAACGCCGCCTCGTCTTCCTTTGACTGGGTGAGTGAGTGAGCTGGACTTTGAAACTTTCAGTTGAATCACTGCGTGTCAGTAAACTGTTAAATGTGTGAGGAATACAAAGAGTGACGCAGACTCTGGAATTTTGGTGTACCACTTTGAGTGAGCGAGGTTTTACGCCGCTTTAGCAATATTCCAGCAATATCATGGCGGGGTACACCAGGAATGGGGTTCACACATTGTACCCATGTGGGGAATCGAACCGGGCTTTTCAGCACGACGAGCGAACGCTTTAACCACTAGTCTACCCCTCCGCCCCTTTTCCCAGTTAGGTGACCACGACATAGGATCCAGATAAGCGAAAAAAGGATATTGAAATTCAATCGTTACATCCTGACATTTTCAAGGGACGTAACCACTCCCTAAAAACGTTGCATCAATGGCAAAAGGTTGAACTGACAACAAAGAACTGGCATGTTGCGAGTTCAGCTTCCACGCTCTTAAATCTGGATGTTGACCCGTGAAATTTGATTGACACGTTCTTAAACATTTATCAGTGTTCACGATCGGAGGCGCGAGACGGAGAACTTGGAGGGTGTGTTTGGCGTTAACCTAAACATACTTATATAGGTGTCGTAAACAAATCTCTGAACACTGAGCTTGACGGTGAAATATGTCTTTATCAAAACTGCATATAACACACGGGCCACAGAAAAAGGCAGATCCTTTCAGCGTTAATGTCTGGCCTGCTGGGACAAATTCCGTCCAACCAAAACATCCCCGGTCGTCTTCATTGATGAGCAAAGTAAACAAGATGTCTTGCTCTTACCTAATGCGTTCCTGGCTTTCAATCCACTGTAAGCGAGCTGTCGTTCAGGTTCTTGGGCGAATCTGAAAATAGAAGATACACATCAGTATCTAGCGTTGTCATTCGTTTTGAGGTCCTGAGCCCCATTTCAAAACGTTATCACAGCTTTATGACGACTGCAATGCCCGAGCTTTAACACGTGTATTCATCGGTACTAACACTAAAGGGGCTTTGTGAAGCCGGACCTGCCTTGACCAACTCGCTTTTTTGACACATTTCGATGGTGAACCCAAACCTTCGACACACATGCGAGACAGAACGATCACATCACCATCACCATCACCATCATCAACATGAACATCACCGACATTATTGTCTCTATTCCCACTTGATCAGAGAAACAACTGACTTGGCTGATAGTTAATACTGTAGAAGTTATCGGTCGATATAAAGAGCACGGATTCACGATGATACGTCATTAGCCAGGTACACCTTGTAGCCAACCAATCCCCATTCCTGTCGGTTATTTCCCACACATACAGGATAACCCAACCTAAATCTCAACCGTCTAACTGCTAAAAACGACCTATACCTTAAGTACACATTCTGATAAACCGTTACATTTGAAACATCAGGTTAATAATACCTGTGCCTATTCCACCGCGGACATGCATTCATGACAGACAATTAATAAAACTAACGCCAAGACACTTTCCCACGGGGCAGTGACCACAACAGGGGCAACGGGATTCGAGACCTATGTCGGAATTTTATTTCTACTTTCAAGACCTGTTTCCAAGCAGGCAAAAGTTTTTCTCACGATGTTTTGTAAACTGACGATTAGCTGTTCGCATCCGAAAGGCCTGCCTTGGCTCCAGTTTCCCAAGGCGCTTCTTGTCTGATGAGGCTCGTGATAGGGGTGGTGCAGCATGTACCAAACAAGCTCACCACTCTCCCCTGCGTCCGACTATGATTAGTTATAAAACAAGTAATCAAAACACTTCATTAGTACAGCCTTGAGTTCTTAAGATATGTTTTGATGCTGACATAACAATTAGTATGCGATGTTTTCTAACATTCATGGATAAAAAGAGAAAAAAATTGTCCATAATCGTACGATATCTCCGCTAAAAGCAGAGTCCAAAAAACACCCAGTGAAAAGGAAGCACGCCCTTTAACCCTCGTTTTTTGACAGCAGGTTCCTTTTTTGTTCAGCGTTAACATAAATGAAGCCTCAGCGTGATTCATACCTACCTACATGATTCAAGCATTGAGTTGCCTTCAGTCTGATTCTAAGAAGCCATTAGGTTTTGACGTAAATACTCAATATGGAATTTTGCTAACACTAACAGCATTCCAAGAGTGACGTACAAAAGGGTTTTGAGAAATTTAGACATTTAAGAGCGTAGCCCTAATTATCAAATTCATAATATGTCTTCATTTATCTTTCCTCAAGAAACTGATACATTTTAAAAATATTCCCATGTTAAATACATGTCCCTTTGGTTGGCGACATTGAAACAGAATATACAAAACACTTATTTACTTATATTTTTTATTCGACAGTACTCTTTGTTAACATAATGTGAACAACAGGAGCACTTGAAAGTCAGAAAGAGATATCTTAACAGTAACCAAAGTTGGAAAAAAATATAATGGCTCGTATTTTTCGCAGATCCGGTTCGAACGTATACATACAGAGCATTAAGTAACATTGAATAATAAAGAAAGTCAAAGGTCATGAAGAGTGACGCCCCTTTGTATAACAAAACCTCAGCTCATTGTGTGGCACGAGTTGTCAAATATCCCGTGGTGGCCCAGCTGGTTAAAGGTATTTCCGAACGCGGTCTTCTTTTCTTACCTAAATATTTTGCAGAACAGATGTTAGAAAGAAAGAGTAGTGTAAAGTATTTAAAACCTTTCGTCTGAGATTGGATTTTTCTTCTAAAATTTCATTCATATTTCAGTGAATTCTAAAAGTGCTTATTATATTCTTAAAGTTTCAATTTCAAACGTTTTACAGATGATTTAAACACAAAAGATATCTTATAACATATTTGCTTTTAGTTTTTTCATCAGTTAATTTTAAATTTAGTTTTTAAACCAAAATCGAAATTAACTGTGTTCTTAATATAGATCTCTCTTCTATATTGAAGACAAAGTATTGATAATCCAGTAAAACTTCATATGTACCCGTTTGGGTTTGTGTAAAATCAAACTTTAGAACACAAACCATGGCCGCTACTTGAATGTCACTACAAATTGATTTTATGTTATTTATAGTACATTCGGAGGCGTATCTGAATTGATTGAAAGCAGAATTGAGGTCAAACTTCAAATAACAATGTTTCCTATTCATCAGATAGATTGTGAAACAAACAGCATTTTCAAAATGTTAACAACTTTGCATCAGATTAAAAAATTACTATTTTCCTTAAGAGGAACGGAATCGGATTTAAACTATAGATATGTTATATAAAACATGCATTCAAATGTCAAGCGAAAATGGAATCTGTTTGCGTCATCAGCACCACAATTCTTGTTAACAACACAAGGCATTTAAATATTACAACGATGAAATGTACATATTTGATCAGCTGATGAATTTCGAGCTAATAAGCTGGCATTGTAGTAATATATAAAAATATTCACACATCAATTTCTAATTTGGATGTGGACACAAGACTGCTTCTCACTGTATACCCCATTGAGGAATCAAACCTGCTCTTTGGCAGGATAGGTGAACACTTTTACCACTAGACCACCTCATTACACTTTAAGAAAATTGGGATGAAAGAGCCATCATTGACAACTGTGAACAAACACCATCCTCATTTGACTGACGAACTGTATACATAATGAAATGTTTGACTGTCAAATATTTGACATAGCATGCCCATGTATACAAAATTAGGTTATCAAATATTGAAATTGGGTATCAAGGCCAGGTGTAATGTACATTGACAGGGTGTCATTGGACACATAGTGTTCGTCCTTACCACATAAAACTTGATAATGGATTAAATACTTTACATTACGAGTCTGAGTTTTGTGTATATTACTAGATGTTAGATGTGGAATATAAACAGTAAAACTGTTCAAATCATAAAGTTTATCAAACATTATACTTTTCCATTTACAATTAACATGTACGGTAAGAAATGTATGACAAGCATGTCATTGACCGACGTTCTTAAATCTGAAATTAGTGAGTGAGTTTGGTTTCACATCGCAATTAGCAATATTCCAGCAATATCACGAACTGGGGACACCAGAAATGGGCTTCACACATTGTGCTACATTGATGCAGACTCTGGAATTTTGATGTACCACTTTGAGTGAGTGAGGTTTTACGCTGCTTTAAGCAATAATACAGCAATATCATAGCTGGGAACACCAGGAATGGGGTTCACACATTGTACCCATGTGGGGAATTGAACCCAGGTCTTCGGCGTGAGGAACAAAACCACTAGGCTACCCCACTGCCCAAAATCTGAAATAAGGTTACAATGAATGATAGGCTTGTGGCTTCTTAGCATTCTTAGCATCAGTAAGGTTCTTGGAAAGATCAGCATGCCACAGGTCTAAAGTCTATGACTTTACATTCATGCTCTGGATTCTGAAGTTTATTACAGAGTCTCTGTAGACATAACAATTGATAAACCAACTAAATCCCTGAAGTTATTTTGTTATCCAGACAAAAATGGAGGTCTACCATTATAAAATATCCCAATCAGGTGCAGTGCTCTCTAAGTTGATCCAAAAGCTCAAATTCTTAGTCATGAGTAAATACATTTCTATAACGTTTTTGGGAATAATAAATTCAGGATCCAACAATTAATATAGAATGCTTGTGTCACTTTTTTCAACTTCAGTAATGTAATTTTCGGGAGAGATTTTAATCTTAAATTTCAATATGTAAGACTCCTTGACCTATATTCTAAATTTTGAATTGACAGTTTCAAAACTGTATTGTAAGAGTTTATTTTCATTTTGTAAAAGTGAAACAATAAATGGTTTCTAAATAACATTTCCAAGTAAAACATAACAGGCTTTAAGTGCTTTGCAAGAAAACTCTGGATGCAGCATATAACTTCAGAGTGTTTAAGTCTGTTGTTTTTGTGTAGATTTTGTAAAAGTAGTGATAAATTTGTAAAAGGACTGACAAATGAAACATATGCCTTAAAAGATTTGAATTTATCAGTAATAGCATTTATGTCAAGGAAATCCTGAAAATAAACACAAGCCACTATCTCTAAACATATGTAATATCTCGTAGGCATTCTCCATAAGGGCGCTTGTGTTTTGGTCTATTTATAGTTCACCAAAAAATTATACAGGTCTTTTCATTCGAAAGCCATAACTCATTTTCTCCAGTGTTTGTGTTTTCTGCAAGTTGTCTGTTAAAATGTATAGGAAACCCACGTGTTAGCCTTAAGTTGATCATACAGGCCCATCTCACAACCCTTCTATAGTCATCACAACAGCCTGTAGTGATTTACTGGGAGTTTTTGTTGGCTCCGTGCTCATAGGGTAATACGCGAGCTTTAAACATTGACCAGTGATCGTAAACTTGTCTCCCATGGCCAATAAAGCACTGGCAGTCATTGAATAAAGCATAAATAGATGATCCGTTACAAATAAAGCTTGAAGTATTTGTGTTGAGGGTTTAACAGAACATAAAATGTTCCGCTGGTTTACCAAGCGCTCATCCATAGCCGACTCAACACAGAACATGTGTTACTGCGAGTTTGAAAAAACTTTACAGTTTTTTTTATTTGATATTGTAAAAGAAGGAAAGTTTTGGGATTTTCCTGATTTAGACGATTAAATGTACAAGGGTTGTTTGGACGACTTTACATCTTGATTGACTTGTGTATGATTGGCTGAATTACTTTGTTGAAGGTTGATGTGATTTTACTGTACAATGATACAAGATTAGGACATGAGATTTGTGTGTTTTCAAGTGTGCCAAAGGGCACTACTAGAGCTGTATTGATGTGCCCTTTTGAATTTCAGTGTGCCACCAATAGCAATCCTTTTGAATTTATGAAATATTTCAACATTATATCTGTCCATAAATAGCTGAAATATATTAAATGAACTTATACCAATACTCACTCACTCACTCTCACCATGACCATGCTAATGAAAAAAACCTGTTTGTTCTCTACTGTTACAATAATATTAACAATAACAATTTAGGTTATTCTATTAATCATACTGTCAATTTACCATATTTGTTGTATGAATGCACTTTTTTCAGCGACAAAGATTCATAATGTTTAAGTGTGCTCTTCAGACAAAGGAAGCATATTTTGATTATACCATTACTGTTTAATTTGTGACTTAGGCATTCTCAGTATGAGAAATTACAAATTGTGGAAATAGGTAAGTGCTTTTATCTTACTATAAGGCTGTCTTAATATGTTAGATTTACTCCATATAGTGATAAATAATAACTGTTACACATATAGGAGGTTGGATTCATACTATTATACCTATATTGTTATATGTTATATTTGTAATCATATATACATGCATACTCTTGCATATATACTGTTATATTCATATATATATTCTATCTATACTTGCATCTTTAATCTTATATGTACATACTGGTGTATATATATATATGTATATATACCATTATTTTCATGCTGTTTTATCTATACTATTTTATGCATACTCCTATGTACATACTTTCATGCATATACTGTTATGTGTATACTTTTATATTCTTAATCACATACATACTGTTATATATAAAATTATATTCATACTGTTTCAACTATTTTTTTGTGTCCTACAATTTGCCCAGCCCATTTCTGGTGTCCCTGCCATGATATTGCTGAAATATTGCTAAAAGTGACATAAAACTAAACTCACTCACTCACTCACTCACTCACTCACACTCTTATATCCATTCTTTTATGCCTGTACTGCATATACAGATGTATATTTTCACTGTTATATTTATATTCTTATGTACATATGTCTTACATACACTGTTATGTCTATACTTATAGATACACTCCATAAGAAATGTACTTTAATATCTATACAGTTAGGGGCCGTGAGGAAATTCTAGCTTAACTAGTTAGAAAGCAAGGTTGTTGCCAAACTTCATTAATATTTCTTTGTGAAAATGGACTCAGCATGAGCATGAATCGATACTAGAGCAAACATATCACATATCATATCAACTGGTGTGAATTTGAAATGCATCAATACACCGTGAATCATGGCATCCCCAGAGCTTAACATCTCGATACATTTGGTACTTGTTCTAATTAGGTTTTATCTGATGCCAACATGTAATGCACACATACAGTAAATTACAGTTGTAACAAACTCACAAAGGGACCACTAATTTCAGTTGTTGTTTGTTGTTAGCGTAGTTTATGTATATGTATATCTAGGTGGGTAGATAACTAATATTTATTACCTACGAGGGCTAAAATATCAGGGTTCATATTTTTGATACGATGCCCTAGGGCAAAATATCACTTTGTCAAGGCTATGATGTCACGTTTCTTCTGTGACGTTGCATTCTACATGTGGCGACGTGGGTAGTCAGCCTGTGTTTGAAAGTAGATTTGGTTTTATTTTCCTCAATTTGACGACTTTGGTAATAAACAGAATATTATATTTGTGCCCATATCATGCTATGTTTACGACACTCATGCCTAAATATTGGTATATCCCTCGCTCTCGCTCGGGAAATACCAACATTTAGGCACTCATGTCGTAAACATAGTATGACATGGGCGCTTATATAATATCCTCGATATAGGCATCAATATTGTAAGCAGTTGTTCACATGATGCTGATAACAGTTCTGTTTAATTAGGTCATGTACCAGAACACAAAACTGAAGCAACATGTATTGCATACTCCCCAGGAAGCTTTTGAATGTACAATGATCAGTAGAGTTAAGCATGTCTCCATGCTGTGAAATAATATTATGTGATAATGTTACACTTTTCATATATTTTATATTCAGACCCAAAAAGAGTGTTATATATATTGAGATAAAAGCATGTTATAACAAACTGAAATGTACTGCTTGTCATATTTGAGTAAAATGGAGATTTCGTTCAAGACATACTGGATAACATTTAGAGATATAAATATATGTCGTGGAATGAGCTAGGTCAAAACTGAACAGTGTGATCCGACTCGAAAATGGCAGCGTGTAAAAGTAAGAAAGAGAGCATGGATGAAGAGAAATGGAAAGAGAGAAGTAATTTGGAAGGAGAGATGAGAGAAGGCTTAAGATGGAGATGAGATAAAATGGAGGGTTAGAGGGGGAAAGAGGAAGATGGAGAGGAAACCAGATGGGGACAGATGTACCTAATGTGTACTATATATCTATGTATCAAGTTCACATTTATATCATATTTACTACAATCTACATGCTAAATATAAACATGAAACTACCTAACTCAAAGCGCTTTCATTATCGTTTTGTCTTTCATGCCCAATGGACTCTGTTTAAAAAAATAATCGAGACTGATGAGTCTCTAGCGTTGACATCTCATATCATCTTCAACGTGTTTATCAAATTCATGAAATCGGGTAAAACATGTATGGTAGCAACAACCGAGACATCCCGTGAATGAATATAATATGCCTCTTATACAAACCCTTGATTTCAGATCCATGAATTCCACGACATACAACGATAATCCACAAGAAATCACAAGCTTATCCAAGTGTCACATGCGCTAATCCTTACTCTTCACCATGGGATCTGTGTTGATAAATTCATCTTTGACGAACAGCCATTGAAGAGCCCCACATCGAGAGTAAATAAGCCTGAAATACAAGGACCTCCATCCTCTGCTAGCTCCAGAAACCACAGCTTAAAAAGTCCTCCATTCACACATAACCCATATAGTATAATAGTGGATTTCCTGAAGTATTTTGCTCCCCCTTCACAAGCATAAATAGCCCCATGCCTCTATTAGAGTATTTGAGGTGTTTCTTTTCTGCTTGGTAGCTTGATTGACAGTATTTATTGAGAGTCTGACGGGTCTATTGAGTCCTTGTCGGGTTCTTTGGGAAGCGTCTCACCTCCGCTGTTCGGCCATTCAGCGGCAATCATCCATGTAACAAGCTAGCATCATTATAAACACATTGGACCCTCGTAAAATACCTGGATAGAATTCTCGCCCAATAAACATTATGCACGTATTGAAGTATTTGTACGTCTTTTGTCAATATCGTGCATTGAGTTATTTTGCTCGTGAACATCTTGGCAAATATACATGTGTTTCTTTACAATTGTAACATTTTCAAGATTGCCTAATCATTAGGGAAAAATATGAATCGGTGACCGGATAGTTTTGTGGTGAATATTCTATGGAATCTTACACATCATTCATGTTGTTCTCAATGATGTGTCTCAAGTACTTGGCGTAAGAATGTCTTCGCGATACTTCATGTTACGCTCTTGTGTCAACCCACTTCAACAAATCTTCAAGTGCACTGCAATTAACGACATTTTAGAAAAAATCCACACCTGTAGGATTTTAATTGGGTGCACCATATAAAGGGGATCCATTTTCATTTTTTGGGTTAAAATCGTGTTAACTGTTTTCGAGAATACATCTTTCAGTACACAAACTACATGTTTTGCTGTTTTAAGATAAAAATTTGTCCTGATTTTGAAATCCGTTCCTGATGATTAATTTGTTCGGCTGTGAATCATCTAGTTAGCAAAGAATGAATAAAGGTTAACTTTTCTCCACATAGCAAAGTATACAACTTCATTGATAACAACTTCTTGTTTTTTGCATAGAACGACGTTTCGATGCAGATTCTGTTTTCCACATAGATTGTTGATAACATTAGCAGTCTGTCTATTTTACATTAAATACAATCATCAGAATACATTTAAAACTAAGCTAATGAAATATTTGAAATTGATGTACACTCACCAATGCTGATGTTCAATATTAATACGCAATGTTTCACGATGATACCACTATATTGAATTATTTTCAGATCCTTGGAATATCCCTGAAAGTTACACGTCCTGGGTTTTTGACAGTCATCTTCCACGTAAGTGCTTCCGTCCTATACACAATCTACTTAATTACATCAGAGGTGCATTGTACAACAGCTGTAGACCAGGCTGATATGATATCCCGATATCCTGCCGATATACACAAACATGGGTGTCCCACGATTCTTGTGACCAGAAGTCTCCGAGGTCCAGTAGGTCCAGTCAGTTAACTATCCATCTGTACTTAACTCTGGGACGTAAATGGTTCAATGCTTAAAGCAGATTAGTCAATTACCTGCTGTAACACTGCTACAGCTGAACCAATAGCGGATTGGTACAGGTAAGGAGTAGCCCGATATAGTAATGTCGAGGTGTAGGTAGACTAACACTTAGTCTCTCAATGTATAGAAGTTTGATACAAACAAATTATTCTTTTTAATTGAAAAGGAGCCCTAGTGAAAAGGGAGATTCGAACCTGAGGAAATCTAGGCTTGCTTCATTTAGGGCTTTAGCATTGTTGAAAGGGCTGGGTGGAATATAGACTAGCGGTTAGTCTCTGAATATATGTAATTTTGATAGTAACAAATAATTCTGTGGGACAGACTGTGAGGCAGGCTATAGCGTAGACACTCCTATCACCTGACTGCCCCATGTTAAGTATGCTAGGAAGTATATTAACTTGATCATTGTTGAAAATGCTTCAGGGATATGTTATGTTATATATGATTACTTATATCCTACATATGTTACACCTTAGACTAATGCTTAGTCTCTGAATATATATAATAATAATCCCTTTTAAATTGAGAAGGAGCCCTGTGAGATGGGAGATTCAGAACCTGAGGAACTCTAGACTTGCATCATTTAGGGCTTTAGCAATACAGCGAGGGCTAAGCAGTAGGGGAAAAATGTGTTTCAGGGACTGAGACAGACTACTTACACCTCTGCCACAATTCTTGCATTTTGTCTTTTTATCGTAATAGAAAATCTTAGAATTTCAATAAGTCCACTGTCAGTTATCTTAACAGGAAGGCAAATGTTCCCTTCAATTGTCAATCTCAAGCATGACGTTAAACTCAATTTACCTCACCTCAATTTGTTACCAAAAAACATATTGATAAATTAATCCCAAAACATCTGAAGACTTTGGACACCCTCAGCATAGTTATTGTCTAAAAATAGATTTAACTGACATGGTAAACGGGACTTCTGTACATATGCAGCCACAAGAAGGGCTCTCTTGCAGGGCATGACACATACTTTAAGCTTTTAGTACTGAAGGTGAAAGAATGATGCTGTAAAGCGCCTCAGCTTCAGAAGGGCACAAGGAAATATAGTATCATGATCAGCACAAGCTCTTACCAGACTTCTTGATTCCTTCAAAGAGCACCATTCAAGGGAGACAACTTAATCCACTCTGAGTACTCCTAAAATCTGATTGGTTGTTAATACAAACTATGTTTAGAAATCCAAAATGTTTTCAACAAAATCACAAAAATCCAACATTTTTTAGAAGTAAACACAAGACATACTAGTAAATGAAAACCAGCTCTGCATCATATCAAAGTGCAAGTATCCCACCTGGACTTCAAGAAGTCACTGTAGACCAAATGAGTTGTTGCCAGGATAGTATTGTCAGACTTGAAGAGCTCAACACTTAATGCCTTGTAAAGTCTTAGTGTTGGTGTCAGAGTGAGACTATTGGAGTCACAGGTAATACTGTACAATCTGTGATAACAACTTTGACAGGTCGCTGTTGACAGACAAACTTCTGTCAGGATTTGGATACAGACACCTAGATTTAGTAGATCAGGACAGTCTCCAAGACGAGGATTAATTTTCAGTTTGTATGATAAATCAGTAGTTGATACATCACACATTTCGGTGGAGTACAACCGATGACACTTTTTTGTAAACTCGATAAGAAATGTATGAAATTGAGATTACATTTCCGAATATTGGACACCTTCATCAAGGTCACATATGTAACCTTATCAGGTCAAAGACCTCGCTTTTTTTACTTTTTGTTCAGTCTTGAATATATTTTCACCAATCCTCTCTGTCAGTAGATTCATTCCCTTGAAATCCAGTTACGAATGTGAAAATTTATCCATGTGGAATTGTTTTCAGCGGATCTCAGAATGAAGTCATGTTACAGGAGACTTGTATCAGTTTCTTTCAATCTTGGCACAGAAACCAGTAAAAATGTCAGCTTCATGCTATATGTCACTATCCCGAAACACATTGGTATATTTTCCTGAGTAGCGAGACTCTACCTAGAGCCTCCAGATATCATGTTATCATCACCTTCCATAAAATCCCCTTTACCTGCCACAGGTTTAGGAAACTCCACTTGGTCGTCCAACCATACAAAAATCGTCCAACCATACCACTAAAACAGCAAGGACCAGCAAAGCCTCAGGATGACGGTTTTCTTACAAATAATGAACAATGACAAACAGTGAGTCCACGCAGGTAAGGGCACTGTAGGTGACAGTTGACAAGCGTTTGGCTATGTAGGACTTGATAGCTCTCAGTTGCTGCTGGAGATACTGAAGATGAAGGGACGCTTAGAAGCAAGCGAGAATATTGCCTTTGTGGGTTCTGGATGCGATCCGCTCCTCTGCTTACAGAGCAACAATTAGCCGGCGCTCCAACAAAGCTTAATTGGCGAGCTCATTTGTTCTGGATGTCACGGACCGCTCTCTTTGCGGTCACACAATCCCTTGTTAAACGCTTGCTCAAAGTCCGCAATATAAGGGTGTATTCTCCAAGCCCATGTTTTCCTCGCTGAAGATTGGTACATGTGTCGTACTCACGGTGTTAAACCAACAGCTATGTATTAAGTTCCCTCCCCGGCTCAGAGTGTCGAGACTTAAGTGTAAAAAAAGTTGTGGACATAAATAAATAATTTGTATCAATCACCAAGAAATTTGGCTTTGAACCTTGTGAGACAGCATTATTTTCTTTTTAAGTTAATTTTAAAACACTGTAGGATGCAAGGTTGAGTGGATTGTACAAGCTGATGGTGGAAATAGAGCTATTGATTGGATGTTGATGTTATGTAATTGAAAAGAGCGTGATGATGGTACATGGTAGTGCCTTGTTTCCTCAGTAAGTGTATTTTTAGACATGTCGAACATACTGATTGCATTAATCAGGAGACTATGTATGTTAGAAACCATTCACACGTTAAGCAGGAGTGCTTTCTGTGGGAAACATATTTAGATTCAGACATTTTAGCTAGAATTCAAGAACCAAAATGCTCTGTTCATCTTTTAGAGACAGCTCAAAGGCTTTGTATTTTGGAACCACCTGGTCTCTGTTAATTGTACTCCTTTCATTCTCAGTCCCTGTGCTTTGATATGCTGGTTCCATGTTGAAAAAAATACTTCTTGTGGATTGTTAATTTCAATGCAAATTTGCAACAGAAATTTCATGTAAATATTTCCTCCCTATGTGTATTGTATGCGATGACTGAATTAAGGATTGGGTGGTTACTTGTAACCTGACAGATTATGTGTATTACGAGTGAGTGAGTTTAGTTTTACTCCGCTTTTAGCAATATTTCAGCAATATCATGATGGAGGACACCAGAAATAGGATTCACACATTGTACCCATGTGGAGAATCGAACCCGGGTCTGCTGCATGATGAGCCAACGCTTTAACCACTAGGCTACCCCACCGCCCCATGTGTCACATGACACCATGATCATGCATCATGAATGGGTGTTCATGCTGTCAATGTCAAGATTTAATTATATACAGTATACAATGAAAAAGTTTATTTCCGTGACAGAAGTGTATAATAAAAGTTTACATCAATTTACTTCTTTAAATAGATATGTTAGGAAAATGCAATTTGTACAATTTCTTCACGATTATTTGCAATTACATTAAAGACACCAGGTGTTGGAGGACAGTCAGAGCATCTCCTGCCCAACCGATGACAATCACGAAGTGAGAAGGTCAAGGCAATGTGTGGGAAGATTGTTCAAGCAAAGTGAAGAAATTGTTTTCAGTCAAGATATTTGGGGATGATATTTTCAATGCGTGGTTAATCTCTAGGGTAAACAGGCAGCTGTATCCTTGAGCGGTTGCTGATTAAAAAGTAGTTCCCCAACTCAAGCAAATGGTCAGAAATGTCTGTCACACTTGATGGTTATGACTGAAAGTGTTGTAAACTAAACTGGATTAGAGGAAGAGCTGATCATCATCAAAACACCAAATAGATCAGTATAACCCAAATAATTTGAGAATCTGACATTCAAATGTAATACAAAATACTAGTAAAACTTAAAAAAAATCCCAGTAGTATTTACAATACTTCGCATGATTACCCAACATAGCCTTTCAGCTTGCGTAATATCTTTATCAATTTTTATTTACTGCTTGACTACATCACATACACTTCAACAGTGAATAATGCACAAAGAGCTACGTCTCGCTTGTAACTGAGATGTGCATTGATGTTGTAAGCTTATGTAACATGCGACTCAATTTAAGTCTTATGTCAACGGAAGAAAATTAATTTATTGTAAACAGAATTTAAAGCAGAATTATTTAAAAGAATGCCCATGGGTGTGCATATACCAAATAGAATTATTCAAGTGAGCATAAATATGTATTGAAAACCAAAAGATAATTATGAAATAACCAGTGTGAATGACATTTGAGTAAATACGCCATAATTTTCTGGAGCCTAAACCGTGTTTAGTTTCCGTGATAAGGGTTCTATGTTAGCTTTAGTTCCTGATAGGGCTGGTTATCGATAAAGATCATATAGATCAATAATCATTAACTAAATATCCATTGATTATCGCTAAATATCAAAGAAGTAACTTTTAGCAAAAATGCCAAGAAAATGTTAAGTATATTGGACATCACTGATGAGTGGTAACATGTTAATGCATGGATTACTAACAAAACCACATCCTGACCATAATTTGGAATTAATCCATGAATCAAGTCTAACTCTGTGTATTGTCTGAGTAAATTAAATCTAGATTCTATCACAAAAGTTTATGTACGATATTATCAATAACATAATTTTCATATTGACAGTCATTAATAACTTTTCCTATCAATGATATTTCTGATTATCAATCTCTTTAGCCAGCCCTAGTCCCTGAGAATCTGCTTGTTGTCAAGGTGATTCCATAAGTGGATTGGGTGGTCAGACTGATCTGTTGATTGATTGCCATCCACTCCAGTGTCGATGTTGCTCATGACATCAGTCACTGGTTTGGTTTGTCCTGATTAAGTATTTCACAGATGCTGTTTTGAGATATAATGTTGCTAAGGGCAGTGCAACAAAGAAAATACACTCATTCATATAAGTCTTCAATTCTACGTATAGAATGCATAGTAACATCTAGAAATATTCAGTAACAGTTGAGGCACCTATTGATACCCGTGAAGGTCGAGGCTGGAATATTGATCTTCAGTAACCCATGCTTGGTAAGAGGCGACTAACGGGATTGGGTGGTCAGGCTCGCTGACTTGGTTGACACATGTCATCGGTTCCAATTGCGCAGATCAATGCTCATGCTGTTGATCATTGGATTGTCTTGTCCAGACTCGATTATTTACAGACCGCCACCATATAGCTGGAATAGTGCTGTGTGTGGCGTAAAACTAAACTCACTCACTATTGCAATTGTGGACTAAAAATAGTCCTGTGATGATCCTAAAATCAGAAACTGTCAATGGGGATTGGGTGGTCAGCCTCAGTGACCTGGGTAACAGCATATGAATATACCAAGACAGCTTGGTTCATTGCTTCTAATATCAATCACTGAATTTTGTGTATTCGATTACTCAGCTGTCATATAACTAAACCTCAAGAATCTGATTTCCCCACTTTACATTTACTTATAAAACCTGTTGCATTGTGCATGAGACTTAGTGCATGGTACAAGTTATGTTTGCCTGTCATTGTTTGATGATGACGCCATTTCCTAGATTCAGTCCGATTATGATCCTTGTTCTGTCTGCACCGAGGCTATGCTTCTGCATTACACAAAAGTGATCAGTGACAAAGATTTGTTTTACTTAGGGCTATATTAACTCACTATGTTGACATTCAACCCAACTTACTTACTTACTCACTTACTAACTTGCTAACACATGAAGGTCCGGGTTAGAATGGACCTTCAGTAACCCATGTTTGTCGTAAGAGGCGACTAATGGGATAGGGTGGTCAGGCTCTCTGGCTTGGTTGACACATGTCATCGTTCCCAGTTGCGCAGATCGATGCTCATGCTGTTGATCACTGGATTGTCTGGTCTAGACTCGATTATTTACAGACCGCCACCATATAGCTGGAATATTGCTGAGTGTGGCGTAAAACTAAACTCACTCACTCACTAACTTGCTACCTGCTCAATCACTCACTCACCCACCCGCTGCCTCACTCACCCATCCATTTGCCACCGCTTAGTCACACACGCACTCACTCATCCACTCACCCACCCACCCATTCCCACGTTTTGAACAGTGTAAGTGTGTGATAAGAAATAAACTACTTACCCCTTCTGTTTGTTTGCAATGCCAGGACATTAAGTGGAAATCACCCACTGATAAAACTTGCACTGCTGATCGGAACATTGTCCTCACAACTTATTGTCTTTTGAACATCAAGCTTGATGACAACCTTTAATCCCTCTAGCCTTAAACTTGGACTGATTGGTGGTCTTGTCTTTTTCATCCAGTGTGTGTTGAATTTCTTGATGAAAAGCAACAGTGTCATCTAATTGAGTATTGACGTGATTGAGACCCCAGCCCACCTGTGTCGGCCTTAACTGCTATATTTGCTTTTATTAAAGCCACTTCACATTGCACGAGTGAGATTATGATATAAGCATGTGTCAGTCAGTCCTTAAGCTGGAGAGCTTGCTGACTGAGTAGAACATAATAGTTATTGTACAACTTATTCTCATCGAGTGTTTATGGGTCAAGGTCATGCTGAAAGTGGGTCCATTTTGTTTGCAGCCATTGTTTTCTAGTGCATTGTGTATTAATGGAAACTTGCATTCATTTCTTTCTGTTTCAGTTTTTAAGAAGGAAAGAAAATGGTCAAAATGAATGGATTTTATGTTTTTAATTTTATAAACTTTCCTTTTATTGCCTGATTTTTTTTGGGTGACCTTGAGTAAAATGTCATATGCATGGTAGTAGGTGATAGTATTTTAGCTATGACAAATAACATGAGGTACGTATACCAGAATCTAATGGTTGTGGATCTAAAATACCAGAATCATTGCAATAGACATCATCATACTGGCCGGTATGTCACTACTAAAAGCATACTTTATGCTTTAAACACAGTAAGAGTA